ATTCGACATCTAAAAATTAAGTTATACGTAATCCTTGAATAATTTATGAATAATGTAAAAAAAAAAAATACTTACGTTTTCCAGACGAAATATGCAATAATCACAAACAAAATAATAGATATTGGTGGTAAATAAAACATCGTATATATTTTGAAAAAATAATTTTATATGGAAAAAAATATACGTGTACAATGATTTAAGACTGTAGACGGACTAAATAACAGTCAGGGAAAGGATCGACAAGCATTGTTGGGTCACGGAAAATCTCATACGTAGTTGTCACATTATGACCTATGTGTGTGTGTGACCTATTTTCGTGTATCAAAAGAGCCAAGGGGTGGTCCAATGAGGGCCTCCGCCACCAAGGATAATGGTACATCTTTAGAAACACAGAAGCCTTTGTTGGAGCCGCCTACGACCCTGGCTGGCTTGACCATGTCGTCTCCTCTCATCAGTGGATGAGCAGCATAGACAGAACACACACACAACCGTTGTTCACGTATATTTACTCTATCAGTCTTTAAAATAATATTTTTACAAGTGTTTATTTCTCCGCGTTTTAATTTTTAAACGTTATTCACACCTAACACTTTGTGTTTTTCTTTTTTTTTCTTTCGCTATTACTTTAAAAATATTTAAATGCGATCAGTGTGCATCTACGTTTACGCATAAGGATGATTTGGTAGCTCACCAGAAAAAAACACGCAGGTGTACGTTTTCCACGCACTGCATGCCCATCGACATTCTCGTACAAAAACAGCCTCAACAAGCATCTGAAGAACATTCATGGTATGTACTAAAAATATAAAATTGTATCTTATTTTATACAATATTAATTTTATAAGGTGTTGCACGCGCTCGATCACAACGGGGTGAAATTGAGGTCGTATCGAATATTGTAGTATCAACAGGCCGGGAAAAACACTAGGATCGTTCACAGACATGAGGCTATGAGCTATGGCCTCATTGTGAAGGCTAGTGTAGATGTACCGACGGAGCTATTGGAAAAATTCAACATACCATCAGAACCTTCCGAGGAAGTGAGAGTCGACCGGATGTAGCAAGACATTTTATCGATACGTTAACGGATATATCGTTGAAGATAGAAAACTTACTGAAGACGACGAATATATCTATTAACATGTCCGTGGATGACGTCTAGGCTCACGAGGCAGCCACTCACTGTAATCTGTGTCATATAAAGTTCACCCCACTCCAGGGCCGGACTGGGTCAACAATTTCTACCGGGAAAATAAAAAAAATCGGCCCACTTAGGTATACCTATAAAAACAACCTTAAAAACATATTTTTCCATATAAAATGTATATTATTTTGAGAATTTAAACACTTAATATTATTATTAAAAATTAAAAAATTAGTTAGTACAAAGAAATGTTATTATTTTTATTTAAAATACATATTATATTTAGACCCTAGATTAACTACACATTAAATATTAATTATACATATTAAGCAATTTGTTTAGGTTTGAGCTCTTTTGCGAAAGTGTGTCAATTATGATTTCATTATCCAACGCCATCAAAATATCAGATTCAGCTGACATAAGCATAAATGATTCTAAATGATCATGGCTCAATGAATTTCTTATTCTATTGAGAATATATTTCAATTTTGAAAACATTCTTTCACAAGCTACTTGTGTTGACGACAGTGATAGAATGAATTTGTATGCAAAAAATAGTGTCTTGTAAGCTTCGCTGTACAGATTATATTTCAGTAGTACTATATAGCAACACAAAATACAATTTCGACACGCTTTAATTTTATTACATAATATTGACGATTTTTTTTTAATTTCTAAATTAGAATTGTTAGTGCTTTCATTTAGTTCTAATTGCTGTTCCTCGTCAATAAAATTATCAAATTCGTACTCTTCATCAAGTGTTAATTTTAAGCGGTCCCATTTTGAAGAAAAGTCTTGTAGTTCATATAACAAGTTAGCTTTTGTTATACTCTCGTCGCGATTTTCTAAATGCTCAACTAATTTTGTAAATGCTTCTTCGGGAATTTTTTCATTGAATCTGCTAGGTTGTAAAAAAGCACAATCGGCAGGAAATTTACTATTGCTAAAATATCTTATTTCCATACTATTGATTAGTGTATCAAATGTAACATTATACACATCGACAACAAACTTTTGATAAGCACTAGGTGGTATATATTCTTTATCTGAATCTCCATCCATTATTTTACTTTTACGTATTTTTATTTCCGGAAAATTATCTTGAACCGTTATTTCAATATTTTCATGATCGAAATAATTATTAGCCCAATTTGAAAACTTTTTTGCTGCTTCATAAACTATAAGGGAACTTCTTGAAAATTGCTTTAAACTTTCTAAAGTAGTTTCTACCATACGATGCGCTTGAAGAACATCCATATTTTGAGTTTGTAAATATTTAGATAGTGCAGAAGTATGAACAAAAATTTTAAGATACATATTAGCTGTGACAATTGTTTCAAATTTTGTAAAATTATCAAGAAGCGTCCTTGCGTTGTATTTTATTTTAGAGTTGAGTGTATCTGATTGAGACATTTTATATAATGTAATTAAAAGAGTCAAAAATATTGAATTTTTTTCATTGGGGTCGTTAAAAGTACCAAAGATTTTTTTTAAAGCATTATCTTTAGACCACCATCTAGTTTGAGCTATTACAGATATTGTTTTTATACGAGATTCTGAGAGTAAATCTTTTAAAATATTCATACGTGTGTAGGATTCTCGAAAAAAAACGGCACACAAGTTTAAAAGTCCAAATAAAGTAATTGAATAATGATTTTTTTCTGTTATATCCATCATGACCAAATTTAAAACATGTGCGTAACACCAAGTATGTAGCTGAGTTCCAGCTTCTTCTTGTAACCAAGTATTAAAACTATTGTACTGACCTTGCATATTCGCCGCGCCGTCGGTAGCATTTCCAATACAATTTTTAATATTAATATTTGCCAATTTTAAATTTACACATACTTGATCACAAATCGATTTCCCAGTTGACGAAGAAACGCTAAATAATTTAATTAATCGTTCATGAACTTTGTCAGTCACGTATCTGTAAAACATTTTTAATTTTTAATTTAGTTATTAAAACCTAAAATATGTAAATAATATTTTACTAAAATACGCACCTTATAATTACAGAACATTGGTCGGTAACGTTGATATCTTGTGTTGTATCGATCTGAATAGTAAATATTTTAGCTTCATTGACCTCATCAGCAATTCGTGAAATAATTAATTCACGTATTAAATCAATTATATAATTTAATGTGGTTTTTGAAAAAAAAGATAATAAGTCTCCTCGTCCACGGCTACTTCCAACTTTATCGTGTCTTTTTTTACTTAATTCAATACTTTGATTTAAGTGGTTTTTTAAGGTCAAATCGTACTTAGACAATAACATTAATATTTCCAAAAAGTTTCCATGGTCTACATTTTCATGTTCAAGAGTATAAGCAGATTCAATTGATCCTCTAAAACTGAGACCTCTTTTTCCAATTAATTTTAAAATATCGATAATTCTATGTAGTATTGCACGTCTGTCTAAAATTTGTTTTTTATGGAGATTAACACTTTTAGTACACAAAAGTGTTTTAATATCAACATTTTTACTTTGAATAATAAATGATTCAACAGCAGCAGAATGAGTTTTACTTTTTTAGTGTTCTTCCAGTTTTTGATACATATGTTTGAAATCAATTACTCCTTTACAAAAATTATTTTCAAGTTGACGTTGAAATGCAAGGCATTTTATTGAACAGAAAAATAATTGTTGTGATTTAGAATAAGTAACCCATTTTCTGCATGTTTTGTCTTTTCTTTTGTACAATTTTTCTGAATTAAAATTTGTAATACTTATTTGAATAGGATGATACTTAAAAAATATTGTGATTTCTTCTTTTTTTGGCGGCTTAAACCAATAGTCTTCACTTAAATCATTTTTTAATTTCATCACATCATCATTCATATTAGTTGTAATAGTATCTATTTTTTTATTTTCCAAGTTAGTGTCGTCTTCAAATAAATTGCAACTTATTTGTGGTTCTTTTGTTAAATTTTTTTCTACGCAGACAATTTGTTCAAAATCTAGTTGCTTTTTCGTAATTTCTTTTTGACATTGAGAAGACGATGTATTACATGTGGCCGGAGTACCTTCATCAATTTTTTTTTTAAAAATGTCTTTTATTGATTTACAACTTGATGCCTGAGCTTCTAAAAGTTTTAATTTTTTTTCTCTGTTTTTTTCAGCACCTCCTTTTCTTTTTTTTATATTATTGGTATCCATTTTATTATAAAAACTTGAGAACAAATTCTGTTTTTTTTTTTCAACAAAAACGATTCGTTACTCAATAAACACGACACTTCGATAAATGATAACTATTAATGATCACCGAACACATGCGCGAACAGTACTAATCTTCGTCGGAGCGATTGTCGCATATTTTAGGCGGCGCAGACGTGCATTACGATAAGAAAGTAATAACCGATTAACGATCGGTTTTTGGCAATTTATACATTAATTGTTTATATCTAATTTGAGGAATTTCCTTAATATTTTATCGCACACCCATGTTCAAGGTTAGATTATATTCAATTCAATCGCATTAGAAAATGTGTCTATGTATATTGACAGAATGTCTCAACCAATAAACTTAAAAAAAAACGCACCTACAAGCACAAGCGGCCCAAATTAAACGAGCGGCCCACCGAGAAACTCCCGGTATCCCGCCTGCCCAGTCCGGCCCTGCCCCACTCTCTGAAGTACTTCGCCGCAAGACAGCCGACCGATTGTCATTTATCGGGGAAATATCGCCAAGCCCTGTGTAATGTTTGCAATCAAAAATTGCAAACACCAAACTTTGTTCCGATATTTTTTCATAACTTTACCAACTATGACGCGCATCTGATAGTGACGGAACTTGGCCATGATACCCAAGCTATTAGGGTAATACTTAACAACGAGGAGAAATATATTTCGTTCACGAAATATGTGTCAAACAGATTCAGCATGCGTTTCATTGATACATTTCGATTTATGGCGTCGAGTGTATCATCGCTAGCCAGAAATCTTGCAACACCAGATCTCGAGAATTTCTGAGAGACCGATAAAGTTTTTACTGAAAGCGATATGCCACTCGTGACACGTAAGGGGATGTACCCTTATGAGTACACTGATAGTTGGAAGCGGCTGAAGGATACAAGTCTACCAAGTAAGAGGAGTTTTTACAGTATGTTAACGGAGTCCGGGATTAACGAGAGTGAATTTGACCATGCTAAGGAGGTATGTACGCTGCACACGTAATTAGATGTATATTTGAAAATTGTTGTGTGTTACAGGTGTGGAGTCATTTTAACTGTAAAACTCTGGGAGAATATAGCGATTTGTATTTAAAAATTGACGTGCTGCTGTTGGCTGACGTATTCGAAAATTTTCGCAATGTGTGTGTATGAAAGCTTACAACTTAGATCCTGCACATTATTTTACTACCCCTGGACTTAGTTTTGATGCGATACTGAAGTTTACAGGCCAAAAACTACAGTTGTTAGATGATTACAACATGCTGCTGATGATCGAGAATGGTTTGTATATTATTTTTATTTTTAAAGATGCATATATAATAATCTTATTAATTTTTATAGGTATCTGGTATACGTGGTGGTTTGGTACAAGTGAGTAAGAGGTACGTGAAGGCGAATAACATGTGACGCGACCACAGGTGATGTTGCCGGTCATGGGAGAGATATCGAGAAATTAATGAAAAAATTGCACGGTACCGGATTTGAATCCGTGACCCACGCGCCGAACTGCCGGACGCGTAACACTGGGCCACCGCGAATTATTCATTAAATCTCGATATTCCCCCTTTAGGTCAGAGTGGCAGTGTGTACGGTTGAGAGAGAGTGATGAGGCGCTGGGGCCGTGTCACATGAAGACCCCGGGATATGACGAAACGAAGGAGAAATCGTGGATAATTTATCAAGACTGTAAGTATATTTTTAATATCTGTATTATATTTCATTACTTATAATCTTTTTAATTTTTATAGGTAACATTTTGTACGGGTGGGCGATGTCACAGTACATGCCGTACGGTGGGTTCAACTGGGTTGAACCCAAATTGAATCGATTATACGATTTAGATGATACATCGTCCATAGGACTAGTATACGAAGTCGATGTCTCATACCCCCAGCATTTGCACGATCATCATAATGATCTCCCTTTCCTACCTCGAAAGAGCGTGCCACTAGGCTCGAAGGTACGGAAGTTGATGGCAACTTTCGAAAAGAAGAAGAATTATTTAGTACATTATAGGAGCCTGCAGCAAGCGATTAAGAATGGGCTGATAGTTGAAAAAGTAAATATTTATATTTTATAATATTTTTTAACAGACTTTTAACACTCTTTCTTATATAGGTACATAGGGTTATACAGTTTAACCAGCCAGACTGGTTAGCGAAATATATTAATTTGAATACAGAGATGAGGAAAAGAGCGAAAAACGACTTTGAGAAACACTTCTTCAAACTCATGAACAATGCTGTATTTGGTATGTTACTTTATTTATACTATTTAAACATTTTTACTAACATTTTTTTTCCAGGTAAAACAATGCCGTCAAAACGCAAGGAAATGAAAATGGAGTTAGTTTCGTGTGAGAGACGACTACAGAAGTTGATACACAAAAATACATTCAAGCATTGCACTAATTACAAAAAAATCTGAACACTGCTGCTCTAGAAAATAAGATTATAAAATTTGACAAATCTATATATTTTATTGGTAAATATACTTTTTTTTAATTACACTTTTACCATACATTTATTATTTACAGGGTTCGCTGTACTGGACATATCTAAAACCAAAATGTACGACTACCACTATAACATTATGAAGAAACATTATAAAGACAAAATTAAGCTAATGTATACTGATACAGGTAAATATATTAAAACTATTCTTTTGTATATAATATATTATTAATTTAGTATCATTATTTTTACAGATTCGTTGGTATACCATATGCAAACTGAGGACTTTTATGCAGACTTGGCTGCTAATGCTAACTTACTGGACAGGATGGACACTGCTAACCTGCCCAGTGACCATCCGTGTTATGTGGCAGGAAGGAAGAAGACCCCGGGGCTCTTTTCTGATGAGGTAAACGGAAATGTTATTACTGAATTCTGTGCGTTGAGAGCAAAATCCTACGCTTTCAACATATATCAGGGACCGGAGGACAGAGTTGGAAGTGAAAAGATCAAGGCTATTTGATAAGAGGTCATGTGGTTAACAATCACATGACCCTCGAAGTCCTATCGAACCATCGCAGGCGCGGCCTTCCTCTTGGCATCTTGCCGTTGGGCTTATTGATTAGTACTTTACGAATTAGCTTATCCTTTGCCCTCCATACATGGCCAGCCCACTCTAGTTTTTTAGCTTTCAGACATGATTGTATGTTTGGTTTATTCAAAATGCTTTCGATGTCCTCATTTGTTCTTCTTTCATACCTTCCTGACTCCGGGTTTAGTATGGGACCATATATCTTCCTTAATATTTTCCTCCCAAAAATTAGGAGTTTTAGTTCATCTCCTCTTGTTGTCAACCAGGTCTCACAGGCGTACATCGCAATAGGGCGTAGGTGGGCTATATACAGCTTCGTTTTAGTTTCTCTTGACAGTAACCTTGATGACAACATGCTTCTCATTGTGTGATATCCTCTGTTTGCCGAAACAAGTCTCAGCTTTACTCCATTGTGCATGTCATTTCTTTGGTTTATATTAACCCCCAAATATTTAAAATCTCCAACTTGTTCAAATAAGTATTGTGCTTTAGATTCTCCAAGGATAACGAAATCATCAGCGTATGCCAACAAAGTATTCCCTCCAAGCATCTCCATGTCCCTACTATTTTGCATTTCTCTAATTACTATTTCCAAGAATAGGTTAAACAGTGTAGGGACAAAGCATCCCTTTGCCTTAGTCCATTCCTAACCTCAAACTGTGTTGACGTTTCTCCTAGGTAACGCACCCTACAGAAAGTGTTTGAGTTACAATTTCTAATTAGTCTTACAAGTTTGCTTGGAAAACCAAAATCTTCAAGTGCTATCCATAGTTGATTCCTGTTAATACTATCATAAGCCTGCTTAAAATCAATAAAAATCATATATAAGTCCTTGTCATATTCGTAATATTTTTCCATGGTTTGTCGTATAGTAAATATATGATCACTGGTCGATTTTCTTTTTCGGAAGCCACATTGATATTCACCAGTTATCTCTGAGGCATACTCTTCGATCCTGTTTAATATAGCAGTGGTGAGTACCTTATAAGTAGTATCCAGCAAACTTATCCCTCTATAATTCTCCGTGTTTGTTGGGTCACCTTTCTTAAAGATGGGACATAAAATAGTATTCCAGTCATTTTCTATTTTTTCACTCTTCCGTATATTCGAAATAAGATGATGAAGGATTTTTAATGAAAAATTTGATTACAGATTATAATTAAATAAATAAAACCAAAACCCTTATTTCAAATTTGGCGTTTTTATATTTTGGTATAATATCATATTAAATATAAGTAAAATTAAAATTAATTTTTACAAAAATATAAGAATAGTATAGGCACAATAATTAAATAAATAAAATATTTCATTATGAATTATTTTTCAGGATTTATAATTTATGAATAGTATTAATTTATTATTATGTGGGTAGTTGTGTTCATTTTATTTCATGTTTATAGGAATCATGGCCAAAAAGTTTTGAACCATATGGCAGAATAGCGAAAAATATTAAGACGCATTAGAACACTTTTTAAAGTATCCGGAAGGTTTAAATCAAAAAAAATATCATACAGTCCCGACGAACATTATGGATTAGCTGAACCCTTAGATGATTTTTTGTCCGAGGAAGATATGAAAAATAAGAAAGTAGAATTTATAAAATCACTTACACTTTCATTAACTGCCAAAAAAACATTTAGAGTATGAAACCCGAAACCAATCTGATAGCCAAATTTGGTTTATTGAACGAAGAAATCGTCTTACAGCTTCTAATTTTGATAAAATTTGTAAAATGCGTCCGAACACTTCGTGTAAAAATACAGTGTTTGAAATTTTATATAACACCAATAATACTAAAACTAATACCATCGACTATGGTAAAGAATCGGAAGATATGGCAATAAAAACATTGGAAAAATCATTAAAAAACCAATACAAAAATGTGGGTTATTTGTAGACGATAATATTCCATACCTAGCAGCAACGCCTGGTAACGCATTTTTTCATTTTTTGATATATTGTATTGTCTACATTTTGTTTATACACAAAAAAACATAATTGATTTTCTATAATATAATTATTATAGATGGTTTGATAGAAGATAATGCTACTGTTGAAGTCAAATGTCCGTTTTCTGTCAAGATTATGAAAGTTTGGAACAAGCTCTTCTTGAAAAGAAGGTTAGTTTTATACCTATTTTTGTACTTCGTAGTCAGGGGTATTTAATTTAAAAAATATTTTATTTGAATAATAGTTTAGATGAATATGTATTGTAAATTTTAATATCCACTAAAATAGAATTGTTACTTTTAGATTCCTTATTTAATAAATAAAGACAATATAGTTAAGTTAAAAGAAGATAGTAATTACTACTATCAGATTCAAGGGCAAACGCACATCACAAAACGGAATTTATGCTATTTTTTTTATATTTACTCCAAAGTGGAACAAACTCGAAGTTGTTAATTATTCAGAAGTATTTTGGAAAAAAAAATGGAATCAAATTTTAAATTGTAATTGTTTGTAAATAGTAAATTCAAATTTTATTGTATTTTTGGTTTCTATATATGAATTAAAAAATTCTATTAATATTTTTTTTAAGTTTACCATTAATTATATTTTACGAAGAATGTTTACTACCTGAAATTGTTGATTCTCAATACAAAAAACGAATGCAAAAAACTGATATTATTGACCCCTCACACATTAAAGAATAAATTATAAAATATAAAGAAAAAAATATAAATGATATTACCTATATATTTTGTTGAACTTATATTAATTTTTATGGTTAAATAGCAGTAAAAATAGTTAATGGTTGCACTTTTATTATATTAATATAGGTAATATAATTATAATTTATTTTTAAATAAAAATATGGTAATAAATAATAGGTCACATACTAAATCTATAGATTGATTTTATACCTTTGATAAATTAATATTAATTTAATTGCGCTGTATTTATTTTATTTACTATTTAATTTGATTTTACTATAGATATTATATTTTAATAAGTAATAATTCAATAAATGCAAATCAAGCTATGTTATAAAATGTTATAATACAGCTTCTACGATTTATATATTGGGACATGTATTTAGATAAGCAGTGTCTTAAATTATAATCGGTAGCTCATAGGTACGGCGGGTATTGAAAATATTACGACGGTGTTTGGGTATATGAATTTTGTAACGATACGAATCGTACTCGACGAACGTTCATAGACAAATAAGCGGCGTTCCCGAACGAGCACCGTCGGCCGGCCGCCGACTGCGAATAGTGGGCGTGACTTAAACGCCGCGCGCTTGCGGTTCGCGAAAACACTTAACAGCGCATTCTCTTGGCTGTTGCACGCGTACACGTCTTGGTGCGACGCGCGAACTATATAAGATATATACCTTAATTCGTGGTGCGACGTCCTCTTAACTAAACATCATCTTTCTAGATTTTTTTGAAACAAAGATATCGATGAGATGTTTATAGTCGATTGTGGACGATACCTCTTCTTCAAATGATATTAAAGCTAGTTCAGATAGTTTGTCTTGGCCTAATTGATTAGAAAAATAAGTTTTTATTAACTTTAGCTTTGAAAAGTTTCTTTCCGCACAAGCTGATGTCACAGGAATGGTTAGCATTATTCTAAGAGCAGTAATTAAATTAGAAAATGATCCATTTGTTGTTTTTAAAATATTAATTCTCTGGAGCGAATTTGTATCTTCGTCAACTAAAGATCGAAAAATAATCAATTCAGAAAATAAATCTAATCCATCTACATCTTTTAGATCGTTATCTGTTAAAATTAATTGCAAATCTTTACAGTGTTTTAATAAATCATCATTTTCAATTGTTTTCAACATGCCAATGCGATGTAAAAATCCAAAATTGTCCGAATAAGTCTCTAACTGTTTAAAGCGTTTCTCTGAGAAACTTTCTCAATCAACTGTATTGTATAGTAAAGAATAATAAAAAAGGTAATTTGTACGAAACCGATCTTCATTGTTTAACATAGGTTCGTCAACATTTTCATAATCGAATATTTTTCTTTTTTCACTTTCTCGTGGATTTTTGAAGGCAACTGCAATATTGGCATCTTCAGCTAATTTGGCAGCAGCAATTTTGGCCAAATTAAACCCACTTTCTCTATATTGATGCAAAAACTGTATAAGACTTTGAACCATTTTTACAGAAGTATTTATATCCATGATCTTGTGCACTTTTGCTCACAATATTTACTTCTATTAAAATATCATACCAAATCACAAGACTTAAATATAAATTCGTAATTACCGATTTCATTTGACAGTGAAAGAGCCTCACTTTGGGCCATCAAATCATTAGCTGTCTAGGAAACTTCTTCTAAAGCATTTAAAATACTTAAAAGTTGAAAACTTAAAGCTTTCACACTATTTATACGGCTCTCCCACCTCGTTTCTGACCATTGTTTAACTGTGAACACTGCACAATATTTTCTAAATATGAAGAGCTTAATTATTTTGAATTTTCAGTAATTTCAATATCATCATTTAATATAATATTTGGAGTTAGATCTAGAGTCCGGATTTGTATGCATTCAAAAAGTCCAAAATAGTATGCATTTATGCATCAAAAAACTTCAAAATATGCACTTGATATGCTCTTATTTTTTTTTAATAATATGCAAAAATATGCTCTTATACCCAAAATATATGCATTTTAATATTTTTTTTTTAATTTCTTCCATAAATAATAATTCAACAAAAATAGATAAACTTAATTTTTTAATTATAGACATTGACTTTAAACATTTATTAAAGAACAGTAAATATTTAATAAAAAGCAATCCATGTTTTTATTAAAGTTGGAATAGTGCTTCGACTTTTCGGCATTTTAAAATTTATAAATTGTAATGAAATGAAAATTTGAATTTATAAATTTACGGAACGCGAATTACGAAATGATATATGGGCACTAGTGCACAATTTACTGTAAATAACATACGGAGAATAACCT